TCCCAATTAAATTAATGTAAGTAGTTTTCAGATTTTAAAAAAATAACCCAACTTACCCAGATATTTCTCTCTCTTTCCCTGATCTACTTTTGTCTTCTCCGGAGCTTGTGCTAGTGCGCAGGCTGATGAAAATTAGCAGATCTCCATGATGGAGACGATGTCAGAGCTAGGGTGGCGTCAGTGGATGGCCACGAGCGTCTTTGTCAAGATGGGAGATAAGAGGGCATCGGAGTTAGGTAGGGGCAGCGGCTTTGCAGTGAGAAAAGAATGAGAGAGAGAGAAGAGAAAGAAAATGAGGGACTTAGGGTTTGGATTTTTTTTTTTTTTTTTTTTTTTACCTCGGCCTCTCGCTGCTTGATCTTGGTTATCATTTATTAATCGTGTTCTATCACTGTTTGACTACCGCCTATCACTACTTAACCGTGATCTATCAATGATTGATCGCAGATTGACTACAAAATTGCTTTGTTCTTTTTTTTTTTATCGGATCTTTAAATTCATTAAAATGGCCATTGGCCTAATTTAAATAGAGGTTACAAATGGGAAATTTAGTTCTATATTCAAAATCCGTCAGACTTTACAATTTTATCATTCATACGTACCTCTTGATTTTTTTTATACAAACATTTTAAACAACTTGAACAAAAGCAACCTTGGATCGTCACCTAAGATTAAGGCCAACACAGTATTTGACATAATGGAAAAATAAATTTGGTGGTTACCAACCAGATTATAGAATTAAGTGTATATATATATACCTTAACTATAATTTGATGACATGACGTTTTATATGGTTTGCTATAACAAATTAAGCAATCGCTTAACCTTAAACATGAACTAAAACGATTACTTTTCAACTTTTGGTCGTGGCAATGGATATCTGGAATAAAAAACCAGATTAGATAATGGATGGGAATTTGTTTCTTTTCTTAGTATTAATTTCCTTTTCTATTTAGTTGTTTAGTTTGTGAAAGCTGCGTGGACTATGAGTTATGATTGTTTAGCTTTTGATTTGACCTATAAAACCAAGGGGTACTTATTTAGTTGTAAAATCTTTGGCTTTTTACACTAATAAATTTTTTTCAGGGGATACTGGTTTCATTTGTTTTCTCTTAATTCTATTGTAGATGAACAACAATGATTTGGAGGCACAAAGTGAGAACAATGATTTTGAGGAACCAATAGATGTGGATATCGAGCTTGACGAGGATGTGGTTGAGCTCATAGGCGTCGGTGGCCAAAAACCTCTCAAGAAGAAGAAGTTGAAATCAAAAGTTTGGAACTTTTTTGACATCCTTCCTCTTGGTCCGGACAAAAAGCTTAAGAGTGCTTGCAAGAAGTGTGGGCAACAATATCTTGCTGCTAGTAAGTATGGAACA